ATAGCTATTATTAGGAAATGTAAATTTCTTAGTATAGTTTAATTTCAATAAAAAGAGCAAAATAGTTGAATTATAAAAAAAAAAAAATTTTAATTATCAAAAAGTATAATAGTATAAATCTGTCACTTTGCTCCAAACAATTATATAATAATTTTAATAAAAAATCACTAGCAAAGTTGCCAAAAATTAAAAAAATTATATAAAACATCAAAAACTTATATTTTGTATAATTAATAAAATATTACAGTAGTTTATAATAACAGATCATCATGACAACTCTATATAAATAGCCAATCAAAATTTAGTATGTGATTATATAATATATTATTTATTATTATTCAATAAAAATTTTTTACAAATTTTATACCTTTTATAATAAAAAATACAAAAGAAAATTTTTAAACTCTAAATATGATTGGCTGCTATATGTAGAATCACAATAGAAATATATCTCTATTGTCTTTTTGCCTAATTAATAATTAATAAATCTTTATATTCACAGTGGAGAACAGTATATAATATCTACTTTTTATTTTATTATTAAAAAGATGTTAAATTTAGATAAAGCACTATAAGACATCTAACTTTTTATTGGCGTTATATTACAGAATCCTGACACTTAAAATCTCGATGCTTAAAATCTTGATAACAAAATCACAAAACACAAAATCTTGACAAATTAAAATCTGACAGCATTAAAATCCTAACATTCAAAATCCTGACATTCAAAATCTCGACACTTTCAAAAACTTAACAGAATTAAAATTTTAGTTTGAGATTTTAATTCTATTAAGATTTTAAAAGTGTCAGGATTTTAAATATCAGGATTTTAAATATTGGAATTTTAATGCTGTTGAGATTTTAATTTGTCAGGATTTTGTAATTTGGGATTTTGTTGTCAGGATTTTAAGTGTAGGAATTTTGAGTGTCGGGATTCTGTAGTATAACCATTATTAGCTTATGCATGTTTATACATGTAGATCAGTAACAAATTTTTGATTTATATATAAAATTAACAAAATTTAAACTGTTATAACACTGTTAAAAATAAAAATACTGTAAAAAAAATACTCTTACAGAAATATAGTTTGGGTTATAAACTATTAATTTATAAGAGTTTTTTGATTTAATAATTTTTTGTCAAGTTATATCATTTTTAAAACAACTAATAAAATTGGATATCTTAAGCTGTTTGTCATTGTATATCTTTGATTTCAAATATCTTAAGATTTACTAACCTAAATTTAATAATTTAAATACTATTAAAACTAAAAAAATCATTCTATAATATTAATAAAACTCAACAAATTTTAACTTAATAAAAATTTTTTTAATTTTTAAAAAATATTTTTTATTTGTTATTAATAATAAGGAAAATTTTATTTTAACCTGTGTCAAAATAACCTCATCAAAATTTTAGGGTTAGTGTAGACCAGAATTACGTTGATGCTGACTGGGTTTTTTTAATATAATCTCCCAATCACTATATCAAGATCACAGGAGGATTAATTAATAATACCCTGACCATATGTAAATAAGCGAAAACAAAGTTTCTGCTAATCCCCAATGAATCAGTATATTATTATTACTAAAACCCGGTGTTACATGGGATTTTGTCACTTGACCCAGAAGGATATGTCTAGCTATAAATCACCTAATTACGATCCTAATATAAAGATATTCAAAGATCAAACGCTAATCTTTCAGATCTCACATAAGGAATTTTATGTTATGTTGTGTTATTTCTTTATCTCATGCATTCAAATCTTTTCACACAACATTCATCAGGATAGCCAAAGATAAAAGACTACCAAAAAGACCAAGATGTTGTGAATCGTAATTTAGCAGAATGTATAAAAACCCTCACCTTCAACCTTAAAGAAAGATAGACTTCGACTTCTTTTATTTTTTTTATTTAATATATATTACTGTATTACTTATTTCATCTACTTAATAAAGATAATCGTGTCTTCATACACGATAATTTGTTAACATTATAATGGTCTTGATCACGTGCCTATCGTGAAGATACTTCACGATCGATACTTACTCAACTAATAAATCCATTACGAGTATTATATCATATAATTAACCCCACAACTATTATATCTCCATATACAATAGTTGCTTTGTCTCTTTCAACAAAGCCTTAATAAACCTCTTTGATAAGTTGTGCAATCGATGCTTTTATTCTTTGCCAAGTCATAAGGTCATAGTCTTCTTACTATAACCTGCACGTCTACTGAACTTCTATTAAAAGGTGAAGTTCGGGTGTGACACCAGGTCAAAATAGAATTTCTCTTGATATTTTTTGTATAGCCCATTGTAAAAATAGCAATCCTCTTTTTTATAATGCAATGTCTTATCTTTATGCCAAGTTAAAGATGTAAAAAACTTAATTAAATACTGTAGATATGTTTAATGCTGTAATGTAATAAAGTTATAATATTTAATTTTGTAATACAATCTATTTAATTCTAAAATTAACAAGATTATAATCATCAGAATTAAAAAGATTTAAATTCTGTTGCATTTCTCAATTTATATGTAGATTATTATTTAACGTGCGTCATTTTGTAAAGTTGATCGGTATATCACATATTCTTTTTATATATGAGTGTTGTTAAAAGAAACCCCGAAAATTTAAATAACTTATATTTAAATTTTCGGGTTTTCTTTTAGTGACATTCATATACGATACTACATATGGCCCATTTTTTTGCTAAAGTCTAAATTATAAATAATAAATTATAAATAAGAAGTAATAAATGTTTTCACGGTATAATCAACCTCTCTAAATGGGTGGCCAGAAAATCTTGTATTTAAAAATGTATTGCATTTAAGGGTGTTATATGAGTTGGGGCCAAATAAAGCCATGCATTTAGAGAGATCTTTCATAGTCTATACATTTAGAGTATTACATATTAACTATAATAATATCTATTATCACGGACCTACAGTTCTGCAAAGTCATATAACAAAATCTTGTGCATTATCTGTAATATCTTATATAATCAATAATGTAACTACTTTCATAACTTAATCTTATCCCTAATGATAGTTAGCTTTTTATATGAGAGGTGGTCTAGGAAAACATCAATCTGGAAATTAAAGAATTCTCATTTTTATAATATTGTACATAGTATTTATTGTCGGAAATCGGATGATAATCATTTTGATGATCAATTGTATTTTCCTGGACCACCTCTCATATATTTTATATATTTTTTACGGCCAATAGAATCTAGGACTGGGTGAAACCCGCGTTGTAAAATTAGTATAATCCACCCGATCACTATATCAAGATCACGGGAGGATTAATTAATAATACCCTGACCGTATGTGAATAAGCGGAAGCTTCGTTTCCGTTAATTCCCAACGGATCAGGATATTATTACAAATCCGCTACGTAGATCACGTAGCTATGTTTTTATTATGCAAAAGCGAATTTCACCCCCATGTGATCTACGTAGCAGATTTTACTAATTCACAGCGCAGGTTTCACCCTGTCGTATTTTTTTTATTTTTCTTTTTCATAGTGAATGTGGGTCGTATAACAGTGTTATACGCCAAATACACAAACTCACGTTATAACAGAAAAAGAAAAATAAATCCGTTATTGGATGTTCCGCATCCAATAACAGCGTATCTGGTTTTGAATTTAATGTGCTTGACAACCTGAGCCTCTTCGGGGCCAAGGTTAGCACATTAAATTCAATGTCAGATACTTCTTTTATTTGTCATCCAAAATGATCATCCCGTGGTCCGAAGGATCACGGTATTCTCTTCTGCCAAATAAAACTGTTATTGGATGCGGAACATCCAATAACTACCGGTATTTATTATACTTCCCCCACTCATGAACTATTTTGTTATTAAACTTAAAATAGATTTTCAAAAAATTTTCACAATTCATTTCGAAAACAATTTTGTCTTATTAAATAGCCATATATTTGTCCTATTTATATGTTTATAATACGCACAAATATTAACATTTGTTCTGTTTCTGTATACAACGAATATATATATGTGTATATAAAATAAATTCTTAAACCAAATAAAGTTTATACATAAAAAACCATCAACAAAATAAAGAAAAAAAAAATTAATAAAAAAATTTGAGGGTAAAAATATTAACATCTGTAATAATTGAAATGCTGGAACATTCTATCTTAAGTTACAAGGGCAAAAGACTCGGGCGAAAAGGGAAGAATAATGACAAACATGTAAAATGACAGTCACTGTATATAAGGAATTGTTGCTCAGAATGTCAATGTAGCAAGTCATTGTGACTGCTTATCCTTAATGAGCTTTTGCAATAAGTTCCAACAATTCAAGAACATCTAGTCACCGCCGCTTCAGCTATTTTGTGAAACAACATATAAATGATTAATAATTGTCATTAATAGTATTCACGTAATTTTAAGTACTCACCTGCGTATCAAGAATCATGCGTTGTTGACCAAGAAATGATGTGGGTCCTTGTCGTTGCAAGAACACATGATCACCTTGAATACGTCGGCCCATACTGAACCAAGCACTTGTGATCAAATTCATCTCTTTAGCGGCACGCTGTCTTGCCTCTTCATTAGATTGCTATATATCAGAGAATAATAATGGTTAAAGCAGTTATGAAATTAATAATTATAAAGTGAATAAAGCGGTTCAAACCTTCAGACGGGAGATTTCTTCGGCGTAAGCTTTCCTCTCAGCCTCAATTGCGGCTTCACGACTCTTATAATTGTCAATTATTTCATGCTGTCCTTTAACGAGCTGTTTGGAAGCTTCAATCTTTTTGTTTTTCTCCGCGATTTGTTGATGTAATTGAACATTTTGACTCTTAAGATCATCCTCACTCATGCCTTCCAAATTTCGAATGAAGGAATTCAATTCCCTAAATTTTATCAAATTGTTAATATACTACCTTTATATAAAAAAAGAATGCATTAATACGATTATTTCAATCTTACTCATTACGATTCTTCAATTCTTCCTTTTCTGCCTCTAATTCTTTAATTCTAGCTTCCAGAGTTGCTATATTATAAAACGAAATAAAATAAACATATGTTGCAATTTTCTTTTTATTTGAACTTATTTAAGCTACTAATGAATTATGATAAATATATGCACAATACGTACAATCAGACTTGATTTCATCTCCTTTTTCTGCTTGAGTAAGTTTGAGCTGAGTCTCATAAAGTTTTCTCCTAGTTTCCGCTAACTCTCTGTCAATGCTCTTTCTATTTTCAGGTTTATCAGTACTATAATTAAAATGATGTATTAAATTATGAAGTTAACAGTTCTTATCATTACTAAACAAAAAGAACTTACCCGTTAGCAGTACTGCCGTTTTGATGTGTCCGTAATTCACTTTCTAATTCTAGTTTTTCTTTCTGGACTTTGTCATAATCCTTTAAATTTAAAAGTTTTTACACGTTCAACAATTAAAGATAAAATTTTAGACTATAGAATGATCAACAGAAGATAATAGTTGTACCTTTTCAAGTTTAGCTTTGGCACGTTGGGCATCCTCCAACATGTGGTTTAATATTACTAATTCTGCATCTGCATTTCCATCCGCTGGTTTACCTTCACGCACCCTTGCTAATTCTCGTTCAAGTTCATTTACTCTCAATCTCAAGCCAGTCATTGTGTTTCCTTTCAATGCATCAGAAATTTCATCGCCAATAGATTGATCAACATTATTTACTACTCCGTCTGGTTTATCATTATCATCCTCTAATTGTAGTCGTTCTCCTATGAATAATGAATATGTTTAGAAAAAAGTATACAATATATCAAAGCCTTGTTCTCAAAAACGTACCATCACCCATTTCAAGTTCTCTTACACGATCTTCCAATAAACGTATGCTTTCCATGTCACGAGATTGTGCGATTTCATGAGCTTCTATTTTTGTTCGCATATGTTTATTTTCATATTCAAGTTTATTATTTTGAGTGATTAGTTCCGCCTTTTCAACCTGAAGAGCATCGATCTGCTTCTTATAATTTTCCATTAAAGACTTGTAAGCGGCAACCTTGCGATATTCGTCTTCTACAACTTGGTTGCGTTCGACAAGTTGACGATTGTCCTGTTCCAAAGCCTAAAATTACGATTAACAAAAGAAAAATTTTTGTCAACATAAAATCGAAAGTCATATTCTTTCATACACGTATAAGAAATTCTATCATACGCACTTTAAGTGTTCTTCTAAGATCTGCAGCCTCATCGAGTTTCTTTCTATATTTTTCAATAACATTCTCAGCTTTCTTTAACCTATCTACAGTATGTCTATGTTCATCTAGTTGGTCATTTAATTGTGATGCTTTGTCAGCTTGTTCCGTGAGATCAATGACCTAGTTATAAATATAAATATCACCTATAAATATGATTATAGAGAACAAATTTGAAATTTGATAAAAATGATGATGAATTACTTGTCTAGTAAGTTCGTTTATCCTAATATTGCTTCTTTCAACCAATAGTTCTGTCTCATGACGTTGATTTTCACTTCGAGATCTTTAAAATCGAATAAATGACTTTGTTACAAATCTACTATTCATTGTAATATTACAAATAGACAAATTTTAAAATATGATATAATACTTACAACTCATGCCGAAGGTTATCAATTTCAGCTCTCAAGTGGAAGTCTTTACCACTTTCCATCTCTCTAAGTTTCTGTCTTAGTTCTTCGTTCGAAACTTGTAAATCATCCTATACAATAGAAATAAAGCCACTATTAATTGAAATATTAAATGAATTAAATTACATGTATTTTGATTATTTACATATTTAGAGCTCAGCTCTGAGTGTTCGTCCATCAAAGTTGAATAAGTTTTTTCGAGAGTCTCTTTCTCCGCAATGAGTCTCAGGTATTCTTCATGAGCTTTATTTGATTCATTTTCCCTGAGATAATAATATAATAAGATATTACATTATTATGTATTGTGCAAGCAAAAATCTCAAATTTATAACTTAAAAATAAATAATTACATAATTGGTGAGGATCTGACGGTAGGCTCACCTAATTTACCCATTACCTATGCATATATGCTAATTAGTAACCTTTGAAAATGAAAGTTTGAAGAGATTTACTAATTTGAACATACTCTTTCGATGGAGATCATCAACCCTTGTTGGGATTGTGGATTCAGAGACTGAATTTTCTCAATATACACGTCGTTATTAGCGGATCTAACAGCTAACGTAAGGATCAATGACCACAGCTTTATTGTTTCCTCAAGGTTTCCATCTCTTGCAATTGATTTAAGATTAGGTGGATCGATATTCACAGTGGAAAGTTGAAGGACCGCTTGATAATAATGTATAAGAAGCTGGTACATTTGTTCGAGTTTCTTAAAACTTTGAACCCAACTATTCTCGCGAGTATCATTTGAAATCTTGAAAAACTTATTATCACTATATTGTTCGCACCCAAGTATGAGTAATAAAGGTCAAGGAATTTTTCTTGAATGTTACTAATTAATTTTTAAAACTCAGCGTCGTTAAAACTAGAGCAAACCTTACATAGCACAAACAACTTCGATCAAAATGGCGCTATCAGCAAGATCACCTATCGTACTAAGAGTACGCGGTAGCTTATCGAAGGTGTTCACCTATATAAACAAAAAAAAGAGAGATAATTGGCCAAAGATAAACATCTTTATAACAAAAAGTAGATTATTCGCAAAATCTTTTAAGATTTGCAAGGAAATAAGGTCATACCCAGGCAACTAAAGCAGAAGCTACATCCGGTTGAGCCATATCTTTATTTAATTACAGTTGGTCTTGTAAAGAACGAATAGCATGGAATTATAAAGTATGTTTAATCTATATTGAACTGAACGTTCACTCCTCAAGTTATACTTCTATAAATAAAAGTTGCGGTAGAAGAAAGAAAATACAAAAAAAGTAATTGCGAGTTTGTTATGACCGTAAACTTTATAGACTGAACGAAAATATAAATTTTAACGCGAGATATACTTTACTTTTCTGTATAAAGATAAGCCTTCGATCATTCAGTGGCTTACGTCAACACTGATGCACCAAATTACCAAGAAGGATGTACAAGTATGGTGCAGCAACCCTGCTGGTCCGGTTGTAGTTGTATTATTTTACAAATAAAATATCCGCGGAAAGAAAAATTGATTTCTCCAACAGGTATTACACCTCTTATTATATATACGTACTGTACAATATGTAATGTTGTGATTGATACGTACTAATTGATGCTGATACTTAAAAAGAAATCCTTACCCTAAAATCAAAAAACTTTCACTATGCACACTTTTACTTACTATTTACCCTTTTACTATTTACCCTATTTACATATTTATTTAACTTATTTGGTTAGCCGCCCACGAACACAAACCGTTTAAATTATCATTGCACAAAAAACTAATAATCATCGCCGTATTTAATTCTTCAAAAATTTCTCTCACGAACTTTCATCGCATGTCAGTAGTGATCCATTAATTCCGGCTAAAGTTTGGAATCATCAACTCCAGCCTATCATTACCTTCACAGACCTATTAACCTTAGCATGATATACTTTTTGCGGACCATTAACTTCATAATTCCTGCTTTAATTATTGCCATACAATATTGATTTTTTTTCCTCTTATTGCTGTATTGTGGTAATGGAAGTATTCTAATGACCCGATCTTTTGATCTCAAATCATGCGTACTAGTAAAAACTTGCATTTAAGAATATATAGATGTATTTAGAATATTAAAGTAATATGTATATATACATATTTGTTAATTTAATAAAAAATTTAGCTACTTATCAAGATATCCAATATAGAGATAATACAATAAATAATATATTTGGATATTCCATAAAAACTCGAGTACGTACAGTATTCTAATATATAATAATTTGGGTGAATATCTTATTTATATATTAAAAATGGATGCGTAAAGTGTTTTCATATCTATATACATATGCTGAAAATAGTCAACTAAAGGTATATTATGTACGTACGTACATGTTTTGAACTTTATACGTATATACAGTACGCATACGTATTATTTTATTTACTTAAATCTTTAATATTATCAGTTATCGTTACTTACGTACGTACGTATATAAAGACACCAAGTAAGGCGACTTGAAATTAAAACCTCGTTTAACGTTATTTTTTTTCGTATTTATAGAGGGGGGGGAGGGATGAAAATTAAAAATTAAACATAGTGTATCGAGAAATCCCGACGTAAACCGAAAAAACCCGACTGCTTCAAATTTTCATTTCTATTTGTTTAATTTTTGGGGGGAACCCGGGAGATGGAGGGGGGGATAACGTTAAACAAAGTTTCAACTTCAAGCGGCCTAAGCAGTGCAAAATAATATTCCAAATATATACGTTGATTCAAAATAATATTCCAAATATATGTTTATTAATTTACAAATTTAAATATAAAATAAGTAAAGTAGATTTGGTAAAGTAGGCATAGACTGCTAACCAAATATAGGGATTGGAACCTCCTAATCGTTTAACTGTCTAACCATATTAACCACTTAATGCAAGCCCACAGCCAACATAATTCCGTTCGAAACTATAAAAAAATTATTAAATTGGTATTTATTTAGTATTCTATATATATTTTATAAATATATATAGATATATATTTTTTTTAAAAAAATATACAAATTTATTAATATAATAATTAAGTATTGCGGAGAAAAATCTGTAAGTACGTACAAATTTAAACTTTACTATGTATACAGAACTTAAATTTAAAAAACTGATAATCAATATTATTAAATTCTCTAAGTTTAAGCTCAATATAGTTTGTATTTGTAAGTTTTTTTTGCTATATTCAAATCTAAAGTTTAAAATACAAAAAAATATTTTTTAATTTCATATTCTTACTATAAAATATACTTTTATAAATATATAATAAATATTATAATATATTACTAATTAAAACAAAATTATTTACAAAAAAAAATTTTTTTTAATAATTCTTTAGTCAATATTTCAAAAATTTAAAATATTATAAAAGATATTTAAAGTAGATAATATTTTTGGTTTTAGAAAAGTAGGTGTATTGTTAATAAAGTTTTAAGTATATTAATTAATACCAAAAAGTAGACTAACTTAAATAGTTTTAATAAAAATTAAACTTTGTTTAAATAGATTTCTCTTATAGTTAAATCTTTATAAATGCAATCTTTCTAAATATATATTTTATAAAAAACCTCCATAAATACATGGCTTTGTTGTGTTTTTATTATACTATATATATATAGTTACTTATAGATTTTTATTTTTCTAAATACAATATTTTCCAAGGGTGTGGTGATTTAGTGAAGTGGTGAAGTTGTCGCATCCCCAAGTGGCAGAAACAGAGTTTAAATCCCACTAGTGATGAAAAAATTCGAATTTTCAGTAGTGTTATGTCAACTGTGAGTGTAAGGGCAGATTGACATCTGTAACTAGGTCATATCAGCTCGTACTGAGAGACTGTGAAACAATAGTATAACGTATGAGTTATACAAAATCTGAGTGAAGTAGTTGTGTAAATCTGAGGTCAGCGCATGTAGAAGCCCGCTTGGCAAGACCTGAATAAAGAGGTAGTATGGATCTTTAACAGTACTACGTAAAGGATTATCAATCAGAAATCGAAGAATTTAACGGGACCGAAGTATTTGTTAAGGCACTCCACCAATCAGGCTATCGGAAAGTAACCGGAGGAAAAGGACCCAACCGAGGAGATCAAAGGCAGGTTATAGCCCTTCTAGGCCATCTGAATTAGAAGTTTGGGACGATGGATATACAGCAGATAGTCTGTATAGTAGGTACTAAGGTCTAGGTGAACTCTATAAAGGCATAGTAGGTAATGATAGTAGCTTCAGCTCGCAAGTACTTGGTCTCGGCCTAGGCATAAATTACTGAAGTAGATTAGGTAATACGATAATAGTAGGTATCAAACTGCTCTAACAGGTGATGTTCTTAAAGATGAATTGGTAATGCTAGTAGTCCTATAGGTGGCATGCAACGATCCTAGAACTTGAACTGACTTATATATCGCATGTTCTGGGTGATGTTAGATAGATTAGCATAGGAAACTCAGATCAAAAAGTTTAATTAGATAACCCAAGTAGTAGTGGGTTATAGGTACAGCATCTAGTGTAGAACCTAGTAATAGGTAGATACTTAATTAGATGCTCAAAAGGTGCAGATATGGCTAGAATGTATCTTCTTCAGAATATATTTGTCTGAAGTCTCCTTGAAAAAGACACCATATGATCCTAATATCTAATAAAAGCAAAAGGCTGAAAATGCTAACCTTGACTATAAAAAAAATACAATATTTTCCTAAATATAAACTTTTTAAAATTTATATAGTGTTTATATGAATTACTTTTAGAGAAAGTTAACTGTATCTATTAGTTATTCAAACTAAAAAATATTTTAAAAATATATATAATTAATATTAAAAATTTTAAATACTAAAAAATATTTTTATATAACTAGCAAATCTATAAAAAATAATCTACAAAATTTTATTAATTTCTTATTTTTATTTAAAAAAATTTTTAATAAAAGTGATTAATTTAGCTTATTTTTTCAAAAGATTAATATTTTATTTATTTATTTATTTTTTTATTTTTTTAAACTTAGCTAGAAAAGTCAGTGACAACTTTATACATAATTATTGAAATATATTACAATCTATAACTAGGCTATATTATTTTAACTCAAAGTTCTGATATTTATTTGATTGCCTTAAGAGTAGAGGGTACAATTTGTAAATTATATATAAAATCAGTGGTATTTTGTTATATTTTTTTAAATTAAACAAAATTTTATTAAGAAAATTAGTTTAATATTTTTAAATAAAATTGTAGAGTAGGTTTTTCTAATTTTAACAATAACAAAATTATTAAATTAGGATTAATACTTAGTGAAATAAAATTATTTTAAAGTTTAAATAGTATTAATTATTTACAAAGATCATATGACATTAGCTAATCAGAATCAGGTATTTGTACTATTTAAAAAATTTTGAGACATTTTTGAAAAACTTTACAATATATGCAAGTATATTTTTTTAAATTAATATTACCCTAAAAGTTTGATTATTTATAAATAGAGTTTATATTTACAAGTTACGAAATTTTAGTAAAAATTAATTGTGGTTTTAAAAAATTTTATCAGTAATATATTTTTGTTATCTTTATAAAGTTCTGATCTATCATACAAATTATATAAAAATAATCGACATTACTCTCTACTCTTAAATATATCCTAATTGTACTACTAGCATATTATAATTAAAACTAATATTTGCAGTCAAAGTAATATTTACTTTGAAAAACCATTGCTATTAAACTACCTGCTAATAAAAAAAGATCAAACCTGTATCCAATGCTACTTCTGCATCCTAAAACTACTATATTTGGTTAAATTCTTTAAAGTATTTTTATATTGGTTTAGAATTTATAAAAACTTGTATCTTAAGCCAGAAACTGCTGTTTAGTTAAGTTCACTATATAACAGAGTTGGTATTTTATTGTGAATATTGCCTTTTACTTATTTGCTTAAATATTACTAATATTTATCTCAAATCAGTCTCTGCTGCTACAGCTTAATCACAGATATTCCAGATCTTAACATAATATAATTACTTAGCACTTTTTTTATTTTTTTAAATACTACTTGCTATAATAAGATTTAGACCATATTTAACAAGTATACAAAACAATTTTAGTTGTATCCAAAAAGTTACTTTACTCAGTAATACTATACTTATAT